TGTTGGGTAACAATATTTAAAATTTTGGGCGATTCTGAAACTTAAAATTTTTTGAAATCAACTTTAAACTTCATATTCATGTTTTGAGGTAAACTATTTTTATTGACTTTCAGCATGTTTTTATTTGCATCTTCAGTGTATCTACATTCTAACCATTATTTGATCTACTATGCTTTTGTGTTCAAGTGACGATTGTTCAATCTCCTCGTTGTTAGAATTGATAATCATTGAAAAATCGATATATAATTGAATTAACTTGATTGTAAGTCAATTCTTGTAAGGTCGTTACCAATACATCTTCCTTAAAATACTTCTCTCTCTTTTAATTGTTCATGGGGCTATCATTGAAGTGTTATGTTATAATCAATCGCTTTATTTAATGTATATTCACATTGAACTATAATAATTTATTGCCAGAACTTTTCTCCTTGATCAAAGTTTTCATAGTGAGGGTAAAATTTATATAAGATAATGCCTGATAAATAAATGTCAGGTTTATTGCCGTTACAGCGGTATCGATAAAACAAAAAAGCTAACACACGATTAACATTAATTTATTATAAAAAAATAAACGTGTTTATTAAACGTTTCTCATAAAAGTATTTTCATACATCTTTCTGTGTCAGTACTCTCAATATAAACAAAGTTACTAGTTAATCTTCAATTTCATCTATTATTTATATTGTATAAATTTTTATATCACCATTTGTTTAGTGACAAAAAGAGTTGAGTGTTTTTTCTTATAAGTGAACTGAAGAAATGTAGTAACAGACGAATAGGAATTTCGGAAAACCTCCACTTTCCTTGTAACCAAGTGGAGTGAGATGTTAAACAGTAATTTGCCGATAACACTGGATGATTTATTGAACTAAATATATTCTACTAGCGGTAATGCAAAATATACTGGGTTCATTATTAATAAGATTGTCAGTGCACAATACTAAATAAACTTAGTTTAGAGAAAAATAGCTGCTCAGAGCTTATCGATTTTCAATGATTTTTCAGCTGGTATCTGCTCGTGATGAAAAACATTTCTAACGTTCAAGAGTTATTCATCGTTTATAATCGTTTCTACGTATAAATATACTCATTTGAGGAAACATATGGTTTTCGTAAGTGCATGATGAACTGTGTGTTTGAATACCTCACCATAAAGCCAGTGGACTGCTCCATGTATATCCTGGATTTCGGGACTTTGAGGTCTTTATTCCGAACACCGTTTAGGTACCTAGATCATATGTACACATATATGTATGTAATTATTTTTTAGTTAACCAATACTTATTTGTGAATATTTCCACTCGTGGGGTGGTATAGGCCGCCGACCAGGATTTTTCAACCAACTCTTTCCTGGGCTCTTCTTTCCAGTTTTTTCCCCAGTCCTATCCACTCTTTTGATGTCTGCCCTTAATTGCCGGTGCAACATTTTGATCGATAAAGTGAAAAATATTTTCAATCATAGAACGTTAGTAAGAATCTAAATAGGTCAACCGTTTAAACATTAACATTGAAACATTCATATTCCGTCTTGTTTGTTTGAAATGATTTTCACATGACACTTGAATTAATTCACCACTCAAATTTTCAGATTGTTATTGTTCTAATAAACACTTTTTTGATAAACAACATAGAAAATAGTAATACCAAGAAGGTATTATGGAACAATAACTCATAAATATAAACTTTTATTTATTTATGAGTAAATCTAAAAATTGTTAGAGTTATTTGAAGAAATGAATACTTCATACAGGAAATATAGATTGCTTAATTATAGACACTCTTTACCAGTTAAATTAAGTTGGTTACCATTTCTAAATTGAATGAAAAGTTTGTCATTTGGTCGATTAATATTCATGTTATTTTGTGCCGTATTTTCATTGAGTACACTAAAGTGAAAAAATCAAAGTAATCTTGTACATGAGATGAAATTCCACATATTTAGTAAGTCTTTTTTGTTCCTATAAAAACATCCATTCGAATTAATTCATCTTTTGAAAGATTTAGTTAAGATCATAATGAAAAGTATAAAAACAATAATTTTCAAAGTTTCATTTGTTGTTCTAAATTCAGTTTTTAACAGATTTTATTTGTTATTTGTTAACATCCTTTACATTGTTCAACCAAATGACTGTTCCTCGTTTTAGTAAATAAAATCATACGAAAAGCCCTTGATATTGTTGAAAGTCTATATAAAGATCATCCAAAATATTTTGCCATTCATTATGGTAAGATTTTGTCCAGATATTGGAATGAACACTGTGATTCATATGTAGCATTTTAATCACATTATTTTGAAAAACTGACAATCACGTATACAGCATAACTATATGAATAAACTGTACGTCAGTGACAAACACATTACTCCTTTGTTCGTCTGTAACCTACGACTTACTTTTTCGTTAAGCCTGTCTTTTTTTCCAAACAGCAAAATATTCTGACTTTCTCTTAAATCGTTAAATGATATGTATTAAACTTCCAACCGATTATTATTGAATTATTAGGCTGGAGAAATTTATTCGTTGATGTTTAGCGATTATCTTACTATCTCTGAACAGTATTTGTGATTACTATGTTTTAAAGGTAAATTTTTCAAATCTTAAAATTTTACTCACTAAAATACTATCCCAAGTTTTGCGATCGCTGAGATTTGTATTTCTCTTCTAGATAGCCTAAAATCCATCATACTATATGTATCAATAACAGTAGCGTGTTTATTTTTAGAAGTTTTACTGAAATGTGATGATGTAGGTAAAGATTTTTACTTCACTATAATTCTAGCAAATTACTACATCGTTTTTATGCAATTTGTTGTTGGATGTAACGTGGAAGATAATTATTAGGTGGTTACTCAAGTATTAAAGGTGTCTTCGATCACATACCTAAGATAACTGAGTTAAAAACGTCAAATCAAAAGGTATCAGTTATGTAATCTGTTTTATTTCGTCTCACATCTATTCAAATAATTTATGCAGTAAGTTATCGATTGTTCTATTGGTGAAACGTGAATCGCGATCACGTGAATATGACGAATTCAACATAAGCTCTAGTTCTACTCGGGTTTTTTCAACAAAGTGGGTAGACATGACTTACAAAGTTTTGTCGATGGTCTAAAGAGCACATGCTTTAATAAGTAATGTATGTATTGTAAAACTGAAAACAACATTCTTCGTATAAATAAGCGACTCCAAAAACTACCCTAAATTCAAAATGAATCCAAATATTTTGAGTGTTCAATTTAACTCAAAAGAAATGTTTTTCATTGAGTAACAATCAGAAAACTTACTGATATTGAAAAATTTAAGCACTCGATTTTCAAATAGTCAAGTCACTGTAACAAAGTGCTTTAGTTTCGATCCTGAATGAGGCTGGTATTTTAACGGTGAAGGTAGAATAAGTTTGATTGTGAATATTACTCTTATCACTTCATATTTTGTAAATAAAGAAGGAACAAATTGAGCGAAGATATTTCTTTCCTATTAGTTTTTCATCATATATATATATATATATATATATATATATATATATATATATATATATATATATATATATATATATATATTAGCGTAGAGCCATGATGAAAAACTTATCGAAAAGAAATTTCTTCGCTCAATCCATACCTTCTTTATTTACCAAATGTCAATATGGGAATGTTCACTTTATATTTTTTTTGGGATCAGTCAAGTATAGATGAATTTAGGTTATGTTAACATTTCAAGTTTTTAAACAAACGAATCTTAATGTTAAGTTTTCAGAACTTAATGTCTGATACACCATCATTTGATAAAATTTTCCCTAATTGTTACCTGGTAAATTTAATTTCCTGCACCAATCATCCTCGTGTTTGGCGTTCAACCAAAGGATAGATTGTCGATTAGTCTTTTAATTTAATGCTATTTTGAAAACAGCTGTTAACGTACCTAGTTGTGTTCTGATAAGCGGTAAAATTCACAATGAACAAGGTTAGGAATAATCTATCATTCATATTGTATAATTCTATCTAGGTTATTAATCGCTGAATCCAGGCTTTTTCGCGTCAAATAATTTTTAATTGCATAGTTTCCGAATAACTTGTGTGATAAATTTATCACTCTCAGTCAATAGTCTGGACATCCCACATATTTTTGAATAGTTCAATTTTTCTTCTGTTGTCTACCTCTGACATAAGAAACAAAACGAGAACTGTTAAAATCGACAAACTTCAGCCTCAAACTGATCTTCAGTCTACTAATCATTATAACTAGCTTTACGGCTCATATCCAATATTTTTTTGGTGCCTTATGAACAGCTGAATGAGGAAAAGAATGAGTAAACATTATTTTTGCAGTTGAATTTACCACAACCGTCTGCGAATTTAAATAATTCCATTGTAAGCTTTAAATAAAAATTCAGATAAAGACTCTCACTGTTTAACTTTGGCTCACTTGAAAACCATGTATTTAAAATCCAGAAAAATTTGCTTCTTTCTCACAGTAAAATCTCGGTCTCGAAACGATGAACTGATTTTATAAATATATTTTCTACTGACGACCGTTTACATTCAGTAATCTACGTTTTTAGGAATCGATTCAAAATTTTAATTGAGGGATTATTATGTAATCAGACTTACTCTATGTAATTGTTTATGATTTTAAAACACTTTTCATCTCATTATATACTGTCTATATAGCAACGTTTCGTTTAAAAATTGTGATTATTTATCTGATCATTTTTTGTAATCGTTATTGTTAAAAACATTGAAAATCGCACTTTTTTTCTTATTATTGTATGGTAGCTTATCCACTTGTGTCTACATGTGAGTAAATACGTGCATAGTTGATAACTAAACCTTGGTAATTAGCACAAATAGTGCACACATCCGTGTGATTAGACTTATGGACATGCACACCTAAATGGTAACAACATAGTAGTTCGGATGAAAAAGTGAGTGCACACACTGATGTATATATATATATATATATATATATATATATATATATATATATATATATATATATATAATCATTTTAAGTAAACTATTTTTATGGATATTTCATGGGATTAGCTGAGTCAAAGGTTTCTACATTTGTATCCTCAACATCCACATCTGAATATAATAAATCTGTTGAAGAGGAATCTCAAGAACTATTTCTCAAAAATGGTGAAATCTGTGAAACAGAATCAGTCGACAGAAAATTCAATGATATATGTAATGATACTCAGGGTAATAATTCAATGAAGAAGCAGACTATTTCATGGAAAACAGTTGGCGCTACTAACAAACCAAGTAAAACGTACTATTTGGTCGATGATTCTTTTGAGTGTACACCACCGTCATCATCGAAGAATAACTCCAAAGTTTTCAGTGACAACAGTCATAATAATCAACCCAAAAAACAACTACCTATCAGTCAGTTAGTAAAACAACCTCTTGTGTCAAAAATCTCGCTTACTGATACTAACACTTATAATATGGATCTAAGCAATAACAAATGTCAAGCCTTAACAAAAAATTTAACGAAAACTCCTCACTGCTCACAAACGTTCTCAGCAAACAGTAAGAAAATGTTTTGTTATCAAGTACTAATAAATATGTATGAAAATATTTTGGATAGGGATTTCATTATTGACTACTGAGTGTGGTCTATTTTATTTATCTTGAGAATTAGCCAGATTGTTAAAACTTAGTGGAAATTTACTATTTGCAGACTTTATGTTTATTAGCTTTCATTGGTCAGTAGGTATCTATGCATATTACAACGACCAACTGATCATTACCTGGATTCAGTCGTATTGTAATTAGATTCATGAAACGATAAACTATGTTACTTCAAAACTCTGGCAACATAATATTACTAGTTCCTAAGCCACTTGACTGATATGGCTCTTAATGCGAAATCTTAAAGTGATGGGTTCAATATAACAAAGTCTTGGAAAAACACTGATGAGTAGTTTCAAAATAAAATGAAATCATTGTCCAATGTTTGAAGATTTACCAATACAATCACGTTACGATACAAATCGGAGTGTGCTGGTAGAAAATAATCAATTAATGAGCGAATTATGAAGGAAGTGCAGCGGATATCGATCAGTATAATATGGATACAAAATGTACTGTTATTGTTTTTTATATTACCTTGATTAGTTTACTTATTTCTTAAAAAACACCTTTATTAGAATGTTAAAAAATAAGATCCTAACATACATTTCTTCTACAGATTGCAGGTGAAGTAGAAGATCGGAGTTAAAGTGATCGGATTTTTGTAATTAGTAATGTTTTTAATGGTTAAAATCATCTTTAGAATTGCAACATATTTCTGAACCAAGAAAAGTACCTTTACGTGTAGAAATTTTGAATTGATTTAAAGTACTTTAAAAATCACTTACCAGCTTTTCTAATCATATGACACAACCATATTTCCGTGACCTGAAATATTTCTTTCTGCTAACGGGAATTACTCTGTTACCTGAAAGAAAAATAATAGAACTGTTACTTTCTAAATTAATTTATCTTAAGACTTTAAGTACCGACAGATTCGATTTATTAGTGCCTACATTTTCATGAAGGTAGATAAGATGCTCTAAAGGTTTAGCTGATTACCAGTATACTTGTTACTAAAATAATGTAGGAATTGCCCTAAAAATTTATTTGCCGTGAAATATGATCCGATAATTTGAGCGGTTTTATGGAACAATGAACTAATAGAAATAACTATAATGAAACCCCATTTAATTATTACTCTAACTTTCTTACTGACTTCATGTGACTGACACATTCGTTCAGGCTTTCACAGTAAATAGACTAAGTGTCGTTCAAAGTGTGGAAAGAAATGTAAAGTTGTCAAACAGTGTTTCGTTAAAAACTGACTAGTGCAGTCGATAAAAGTATATGATAAGGACGAGCCAATCAGAATCGATAATGTGCCTTATAAGCTTTTCCACACAACTCAATTATCACGTATCACGAACAGTAGGAATACTGCTCAAAATGTTCAAAATTATTGCGAAAAATTAATTTTTCCCACCATAGAATCAAAAATATTGTGCTGAACATATCAACCGTATTCAAAATTTCTAGCCCTAAACTGTTGATCATTAAACAATCGCCAACCTGGTATCATTATATTTAATGGATGAATTGATCAGAGAGCGAATTTAGCGCTTTTGCATGAAATTCATTCATATATTTGGATAACGAGTTTTTTTTGTATTATAGATGATATCAGATTGTGAAGAAAACCTTGACTCAAGGTCTTTAATTGCTATCAAAAAAACATAACCCTAATCAGGAACAATATGAGACTCTGACAAATCTATTTATATCCTTATAAGGCTTAGAGGAGATGAATAATCTATTTCCATAAGGAAGTGGTTTTACGTCAGTTTTTCTTCATTTTACCGCCCACCCACATTATCTTGTTGAAAACCTTAATAGATTTATTAAATGCGTAAAATCTGTTTACACATAGTAGTATTACAGTTTTCTTTTGTATAAACTGTTCACTTACGAAGCTTACTTTCAGATAGCCTGAAAATTCGTAACGGTTATCTTAAGCTCGTTCCTGTACTATACTATTTCCATACAATCTTAAAGAGCTTGTTCTCATCTCACTATTGATAATGAATAATGTACTTTGTGATTTCGTTCCTAATGATATCATTTATGGATAGCAGTCTTTGTCACTTGGTATCGTTGGACTTGAAATTGGATATATTGTACCTTTTAAACATTTCCAGACTTAACGATTGAACGAATAGGCTTCAGATTTTACTCGAGATGTTTAGGTTGAATGATCAACATTTGCCAAATTTAGTCAGTCATCATTACAGAATGACAATCGACCATCGGATACCGACCCCTGTTTCCTATATCTTTGACTCCACTAGTTAGGATGAGGGTTTATAGTTCAGGTTACTTATCTATGAATCAACTGTCAGTCAACTATTTCATAATGAGTTAACTGCTCATATGTTCGATGAATTACGCCTTACATGAGGATCAACTGTGGGACATGACAGCTTTTTTTACTGGTCTTTGATTCCTAGTGGTACATCAATCATCATCATTTTATTATGAAAATTATTATTTGGACTTGCTTTACATTCGATCTACGTTTATCTAAAGGTTCTTTGGGGTATATCTTACATGATTTGCTAAATAGTGAAAGTTGGTTGCACATCAAAGTATGACTCAGTGCTTGTAAATGTCTTAACAACCAAACAGTGTAAAACTAAAGTATTCTTAACCAACAAATATGATTTAGTTTTATATAATATCTAGTACAACACAGTGATTCTCAGAATAGACTTTTGTTTTTCAATCCTAATTTCATACAATATGCCCTTATGTGTGATAATAAAACGCTTTTAACTTATCTATGCCAGGTTTGACCTTTGACCGTTAAGAGATAATAAACACCCGTATGTGTAAAACTGTTAACTCTAACAGAAATAACAATGACCTACAAAAGTAGGTCACTATAAGATGATTCAACCCCTACGATGAGTTGTTCACATTGATAGAATGTGAAATATTTACGTAGACATCTTGTAGACATTTGGAGAACGACAACTACATAACCTTTGGAAATATTGTAAAATTATGTTTGTATTGTGGAACAGGTTGTAGTTATACAAGTCAAAATATTCTCATGGAAAGTGTAACTTGCTTATGAATTCAATATCATACAAAAATGTATTTATAATGAAAATAGTTGTTCACTGTCGAAACTGATTCGAATACCAGAGAATAAAATCTTTATTCAAATTACTGTACATAAAGCGTAAATATGTATGTGAAGGGAAATCATTGTGAAATCTCTAAGTTACTTGTGTGAATAACTGAGGAAAAGTAATCAAATGTGTCTAAAAATAAGTGAATATTTATAAAGGCTTTAGAGCATAAAAATGTTTCAAGCATTTGCTAAAATGCCTGTATTCACTTATTTTCACTACACGTCAGGAATGTCTGTTACTAAATGCCTCTTGAATGCTTACATCGATAACAAAAATATACTAAATTGCAATAATCACACAAATATCCTTGATATTTAACAAGTCGAGTTATTTAAAATCATCGTTAATGTATAATATTATGACTACTTTTGAATTTAAACGTAGATTTTGTTTAATTTATGTCGGTAAATAAAACACTATTTCTAATATCAAGTAATAGAACTAATTTCTGTAACTCAGATATTCCAAACAAAAGGATATATGATTATGTTGTAACATTTTGTAACTTACTTACTTACGCTTGTTAGCTAGGCCGATATTTTGTAACTAAGCATTTTAAAATCTAGAACATTATCTTATATCAAAAACATCTATATGCATAGTTCGATATGATTTTTTAAAGAAATTACCATTTTAATTTCTCGTGTAGATTGCATTATCGAGTAGACTAAGTGAAGCTGTAGCATACATCTCAAATACAACAGTAATCAAATTAATATAATCGGCACGATAAATATATAAAGTTGTTTAGTGTTATACCTGATGAAAGTAACTGTCAAAACTACATTATATACAATAATACAAATAGTTAATGCACTCTTCTTATTGCGATCCCTTTAAACCAGAGATATCCAAACATTTGACTCATTATTGTATGAAATCTCAAGGACCTTTGGTAGTGTTGTTGTTGTTTTGTTCAACCTCTTAAAAAAAATCACGATCATAAAACACAGCTTAACCTTTTCAGTGAACCAACACTAACACAGTAATCCGATAATCTGATTTTATCTTGAACTTTAATTTTAATGTCTATAACATCAAAACGTTAATTATGCAAAATTACAAAAATATTTAAGAGTTAAATGCATTGAAAACAGCTCAGTTAAATATTCTTAACTGATCAATTGAGAACCCAAATTAAAAAAATTTGAACCTACCATCTCTACCATCATAAACCTTTCAGATATAATACAGCTAAACATTTCAAACCATAGATAAGTCAAGGTTTTGGTAATAAGTGGTAAACTTAGTGGAATGTCATGATGAATGTGTACAAATCATAGTTTGGAGATGAAACTATGTAGTATAAAAAGTTTATAGTATTTTACTGTTTTTGAATACATTCTATTTATACACCTTGTTGTCGAAAAGAACTGTACTTTCTTATTTGATCAGCAAATATCTGAGCTATGAAACGATATATAAAAAGGTACCATATCCTTATTATCTCCGCCGACTGAAATATGTAGTTAGCGTTAAAGATCAGTTTTCACTGTCATAAGAATAAACTATTTCAACCACATAAAATTAGGTAATTTTTTGTATTTAATTCGCTTTATCTTGAATTGTTGACAACTTACTAACGATTACCAGTAGTAGAATTTACGTGGTTCATTATTAAAAAAATTTTCAAATGAATCTTAATACTTTAATTCATGCTTAAATATTTGGTGCTTTTATTTCGTTCTGTTTCGTCATTCCACTACAATCTGCAAAAATGGATTTATATAGACTTATAAATATTTACTTACCGGTGGAATCTTGCCTTTCCAATACTACAGAATACTACTTACCTGCAAGATTCCCTTACACATTGATTGT